AAAAAAAGGGGTTTTTTTTTCCCCAAATTTTTCTTCATTTTTGCGCCCCCAAAATTTTTTTTTTTTTTTTTTTTTTTTTTTTTAAGTGCAAATCCTGCGCCGTTATGTCGTTTTTGAAAAGACCTGTGAAACTTTACCGGGAAAGGCGTGAAGAGAGCAGCTTCATTCTGTCAACAGGAGTTGGGTAAATATTGATTAAACTCAGACCCTGTCGTAACCCTCATTTTCAGGGGCCTTGGCCTCGCGTTTATCACTCGATGTTCTTAGTTTTCACCCAATAGGGATCAGAAAAAGTGTGATTTTATTGTGTGGCCAAAACCGTGACAAGGTGTTCGCAGGTCTGCCCAATGGGATCTGGAGATTTAGGGCCCACGGTGTGAAGAGTGGCACTTCCTTTCTCATTTCTATAAATATAATACTCTTATTATTATTACCATCTCTTTTTTTCCCTTTTTTTTTTTTTTTGTCTCGACTGCGTTCTGATTCCCCCGGAAAGGTGAGCCGTCCCACGGCTGCAGGTGCTCTCTGATCACACACTCAGAGGACGCTTTAACTTTTTTTGTCGTCGCTTCACATGCAACTTTCGTGCGCATTGTGCCGGCAGCATTCAGGAGATGGATAAAGCTTGTAAACGCTGACAAGTCCGCGTTTGTTTTGGGTCCACGCTCGTCTGAGAAATTATCGCTCAACCCCTTTAAAGGGCGCAATTGAGAGAAGCAAGCAACGTTCTCACTGGGACCCTCTCTCTCTCTCTCTCTCTCTCTCTCTCCCTCTTTTTAGTTAACTCCCACCTCCTCCCCCCTCTTTGTCCTCTCCAAAGTGGCGTCTGCATGTCTGACTCTTGCCAGTTACTGATTTGCAGGCAGTGTATGTTAAGGTGGCCCATGTAAGTGATTTCCACGGACATCCCACTAAAGGAGAACAAATCGCTGACAAAAGCAGCGCCTTTCCCATTCAGCGGCGTCGTTAGGACAACCCAAAAAGTATTCCTCAGATAATAAGTTCTACTTCAAAGCGTTTCTCGCTGAAGGGTGACCGCTTCACTCCTTTTTATTAAGTCCCCCCCCTTTTTTTTTTTTTTTTTTTTTTTTTTAATGCGGCCGCGGAGTGTCTCTGCTTATTTTCCATCATGTTTATTTTGGAGCGTCTGTTTCCTAACAGGAGCTTCTCTCCCCTTTTTCGGGGGTTGTGGGGGGAGGGGGGTTACCTATTGACAGGGGCGTCTACAGAGAGTTTTAGAAAGGGGCGGCCACGTGGGGGCCCACTAAGTCTTAATGGTGGTGGAACACAGCAACCGATTTATATTTTTTATTTATTTATTACAAAATTTCTGAAAAAAAGTGTAATTGAAACCATGTTTAGAAACTATTAATTGACACTAATGCTTCCCGTTTCTGCCCTGTAAATATTAAATTTCAATCATCCATTGACAATACAGTGATTGGTAGCAGTAGTACAACTGTTGGCTATTCTTCCTATTTAAGATTTTTGTACTGTTGCATTTTTGTTTGCTTCTAGTCTGACTTTTTGGGGTGCGAAACGGTACCATACATTTCCTACTGACCTGCTTTGACACTGGATAGTTAAAGTGAAATTTTTGTTCCCCTCAAAGTCATCTCATGAAATGATATGCGTCAGCAGCTGCTTACATTCGGACGAGCGCAAACAAGAATCAGAACCTAAACTATATGGGAATACAGTGCAGTATATGATTTCCAGTTGACAGTATTGATTTAAATAAAACGATAAGTGAGATTTGTGAGCTTCCTGTGACCTATCTTTGTCATGTACAGGTGTGAAGTGGAAGCCGGAAGAGCCAAAATGGCAACTTAAGTATGAAATGGGGTAATAAATTGAAAACATATCTAAAGTCAATTGATGCTATTCATCCGTCTGCAATGAGTGTGTGATTACACCTACATAATCCAAAATTTTAAACAAAAACACTGCAACTCCAGCAACTTTTACTCCGGGTAATCATTCCTTAATTTAGTAATTTACTTGGTTCTTACTTATTGTTGGCTTTTTTGCTTTTGGATTCATCTTTTAATGATGTCTGGAATAATTTATTAGACACTGTAAAGTTTTAGAGGCACTAACATTTCCCACAGTGATCATTATTAGCTACCACACAATATAACATGTTTGTGTTTTTCAGAACTGCACTTTTTTTTTTTTTAACGGCATCAACATAAAACCCGACGGTATTCGACGAATCAATCCTGCAGCTCGGTATTTAAGCAGAAAGCGTATCGCTTTCACCGCGCTCAAACAGCCACTTCTGCACATCGCTGTGAAATGAAGTGGGAACTGTCTGGAAACGTGTAAATGATCTTTTACGGAATGTCTCGGAATTACTGGAAAGACACACCACTGACACAATTACACAATTACACACCTCGTCACAAGTTCTGGGTTACAATTGACCCCATGTTGTAACTTGCTGTAACTTGTTCCATCCTCCAATTTGTTGCTATGGCAGAATTTAATTTTTTTCATGTTTTTTTTTTAATTGTTTTTTTTACCTCTGCAAAAGTTAATGATCGCAACTTGAGCTGTGCTCTCTCTCATATTTTTGTGTGACCCAAGTAGTGATCCTGATATAATGTACAAGTTCAAACTCCATTTAATGAGAGAATTAATTTTGAGATAAATTGCTGTGAAATTACAGCTAATGTTCCCAGATTTGATTTGCCGTGTACAATAAGGAGACAGCAGGCTCAGAAGTTACAGCGAAAACTTGTAGCATGCTCTAAGGTCAAAAAAGTAAATAAAAAAAAGACAAAACCATATTTCCGTAACAGATAAATATGCACATTTTTGCAATCCTTTCCTCTCTTATGGTCACTCTTAGGAAAAAAAGTACTGTGTTAGCTAACTTTAAGGGTTTGCTAATGACCCCCACCCTCCTAATGATGAAATAACACCACCATATTGGATAGGGTGCCCAAATAAGTGAAATATTTTGGTATTTTGTTTCTTTTTCATATCCAGTAAAACTTATCATGGCGTTCAAAGAAAAACCCATAGAGGTCGGTGTTTAATAAAGTTCCTTTGCACCAGCTAAGAGCATCTTATCTTGTACTCTGAATGAACATTAGAGCAAGTTTCCAGTTCTCATTAAATTCTCCACGCTGACCTGAGTCAGGTGTGTCTCAATTCTGACAGGAAATAGCTGCTTTTACACCCCTTTCCTATTTTATCATGATGTTCTTCCTACACAAGAATAAAAGTGTCTTTGAAGATTTATTTATTTTTTTTTTTTTTGCTGTTGTGACTCTGTACAGTTCTCAGCTTGCGTGTCAACGTCATCTACTGTACCCGCCAGTGACAACACGCACTTCAGGAGGAAGAGGTGGTGAGGTGGGGGGGCGGGGGGGCATCGCCTTCCCGACCCACCCGTGCTTTGATTGGACTCCATTTAGTGACAGTGCAAACCGGACGTATTCAAATGAGAGTGTCTCACTGCCCGATTGCCATAGAAATCCTAACGTGGCGTGCGAGACTGTCAAAGCAGGCGTCCTTTCCCCTTGAGAAGCTGCGGAAGCTTTGAAGTGCTCGCATAAACCGACGCCGGTCAGTTTTTATTCTACAGACTGGACGGGCAACTCTTTGAAAGTGAGATTCTGCGTTTTTTTTAATGGAGGAAATGAGAGGGGAATCTACTTCCCACCTCCCTTTTTCTTCTTCATACACTCTATAGAAATCTTTGCGCATTGTCAGATATCTTTTTATCTTTTATTTTTCCCATGAATGATTCATGCCTGAGCCGCTTTGTGTCGTCGCAGCCTTTTCAGGAACTAGCGCCATTAGGGGGCTGTAAGTTTTCCCATTAGCTCAGTGATTAGTTTATATCAGCCCTCCTTGGCCTGTTGGGCCTGATTCTGGGAATATGTTAAAGAGAATGAGGGTGCTACTTCAGCTTTCCCCATTGCTGTTGAGACTGATGGCTTGTAGACTCTTAATTAAAGTTAAAAAGGCTATTAAAAAAGAGGGGACAACCTCCTTAAACCTCTTAATAAACCTGAGAATAGCCACTATAGGTATTTTGGCTTCTGCTGCAATCATTCCACACTTGTTTGCTTGTGTTCGTCCTGACTGTTTTTATTAAATATACCAAGAGTTTTGGGTTGTAAATTAAATCTGAAACATCAAGGGTCTGCACAATCATAACTGATTCCTAACCCCCCCCCTCAATTTTTTTTTTTTTTTTTTTTTGTCCTTAATCCATACTGTCCACCGGCATCATGCACCTCAATATGAAAGACACATCACTACAAAAAGGCATGCGAGAGGAGGGACTTTTTTTTTCTTTTCTTTTTTTTTCACATTTCACGGCCTATCCAGGTAGATGATTTCATCTTTTACAGAGCACAGATTTTAAAAAACTTCAACATAAATTTGCAAAAAAAAAAAAAAAAAAAAGAAGATTCGAACATCAGTAGGGCTCTTTACATCACCAAAACTGATATTATCATTATTATTATTATTAATATTATTATTAATATTATTCTTTGGTGTTTCTGTAATTCCAGTTAACAACACGGACACCAGCAAATAAATTACAATGTACAAAACGAACCCCTCCGTCAATAAAACTACACAACATTCACAAGCATCGGTACGGTTACATATGTACAAATCCATACAGAGTCGACATTTTTAGGGTCTCGGGGGACTTTTGTTTTGTTTTGTTGTTGTTTTTAACCGGACTCTATATAAACGAGTGTTTCGCCTGTGTGTATGTGTGTGTGCGGTGTTTTTTCTTTTGTTTTCTTTTGTTTTGTTTTTGTTTTATTTTGCATAAAATACAGTCTTAAATAGTTCTTAAATATTACAAAAAAATTCCATCCAAAGCGTTTAAAAAAAAAAAAAAGAAAGAAATCTGAAAAACAAGAACTGCTCAGACACTCGGTTGATCACTTTTTGCCAAAACCAAACTGTTTTTTTTTTTTTCCTGTGTATTCTCGTCAATATCTGTTTGTTGTCACTCATGAGACAGCAGACAGTACCCCGCCCCCACCTCCACCCCCTGGTGTGACATAATGTGACATATTTTCAATTGAAAAAAAATTCAATTTTAAGTCCAAAATATAAGACTTAATAAAAACCTGTGTGTAAATTCTTTAATATAAAGTCAAATCAGTCAAATTGAGATTAATTTTAAGTAGTGATCTTCAAATATAGTCTGATTAAAGGTCGAAATTGCTTCATATATATATATATATATATATATATATATATATATATATATATATATGTGTGTGTGAAAGGTCAGGGGGGTCATCTCAGAGTGAACTCTCCTTGTGCAGGCGAACCTGCATTGCATCCACAGTTTGTACTGTTTCAACGCGTTGAGCTGCATTTGTCGGTGGTTCTGGTGGCCAGTACTTATAAAGGGGTAAAGTCAATGCCGAGCAGGACATAGTCTGGTCCGGGTTGTAAACAGGCAATCAGAGCATCGTCCTCGGGTCTGAGCCTCTGAAAGTGTCCTCGTCGTCCGAATCCGACGTCGGCACGTCGCTGGACGGCGTGTGCAGGTGGTTGGGCCCCCCGCTCCCCTGGCACACGTACCACTCGTTCAGGTTGGTGACCTGCGGGGAGAGGTTCGCCGAGCGGCTCCGGTGCGCCTCGGAGCCCGGCGAGAGATTGTGCTCGGCCACCAGGGTGTTCGTGGAGGAGATGTAGGCGACGTTGGCGGAGGAGGGGGGCGGCGGCGGGGACTTGCAGTGCACCTTCATGTGTTTCCGCAGGGAGCTCGGGTGCGTGTAGGACTTGTCGCAGCCCCGCACCTTGCAGTAGTAGGGCTTGTCACTCGTGTGGACGTGAGAGTGCTTCTTGCGGTCGCTGCTGTTGGCGAACTTTCTATCGCAGCCGTCAAACTCGCACTTGAAGGGTTTTTCTCCTTTGGACAAACGAGAAACGCACACAGTCATCATTGTGGGTCTGAAAGCTGCCAGAACAAACCCAGAAAAAAAAGAACGCTGGAGCTACTGCAACACAACTTGTCAGCGTTAAATCTTAAAGATTAGCTACTCTTCCGCCACTGAATGCCTATCCGCTGCTTCACACCCACTTATCTCAACATATGAGCTTCATTCCTCTGTTGAACACGTGTAACATCGCCTCCAGGCCTTCTGGTTTTCCATGTTTGCATGTGGCTGGGAGAAGGGTGGGGGGAAGGCACTCAGGAGACCACCAGGAGACGCTTGTGTAATGTCGCACAGCATTTTTTTCCTTCTTTTTTTTTTTTTTTTTGCTTTTTTTGCTTTTTTTCCTGAGGCGCAAGTTCTTATGTGTGCAATTTAAAACTATTTAAAGCTGGACTTATATTTTATACTCTTTTTGATCAGTATCAAGTTTTATCTGATTATGTCCCTAGCAGCCGGAAAGCGTTGGTTCTTGTCAATATATATATATATATATATATATATATATATATA